CCTCAGAAGGAAGGTTGCGCAATCTACTTCTGTAGTGATACTACCTCGGAAACCCAAGGAGGGGTCACTATGAGTCGGGTCCGACTCGACGGCACATAACAGCAACAACAACAATCCCACTCCAGAGCTGATCAGTGCCTTTTCAGGCTTTAGGTAGAAAAACGTTTTCTCCCATAGATGGCATTTTGTTTTACATTCTGTTCTGCAACTTGGTTTTGTTTATTTCCATTTAATATCTCACAAACCTCTTTTCATGTCAGCATGAATAGATGATTTAAAAATCCAATCACAGAAAAGCCTTAGGTATACTTTCCTCTATGTTAAAGATACCCTGTAGGTTATTGGCTCTGAGCAACCTAACCAAAACCAAAAAAAAAGCAAAACGAAACAAACTCACTGCCATCGAGTTGATTCTGACTCATAGCGACCCCTCCTTGGGTCTCTGAGGCACTATCTCTATGGAAGTCAATTGCCCAGTCTTCCCTCCAAGGATTGACTGGTGGGTTTGAACAACCAGTTTTCTGGTTAGCAGTCAAATGCCTTAGGTACTACACCACCAGAGCTCCTGTGAACAACCTAAGAATTTCATCTTAGCTATAGTTTTCTTGTTGTTTTGTGCCATCTATTCACTTCCCACTCATAGCAGCCCTATATGACGGAGCAGAATTGCCCCATAAGGCTTCCTAGACTATAATCTTTATGGGAGCAGATAGTCAGGTATTTTCTCTCCTAGAATGACTGATGTTCAGGGAGCTAATATTAGGAGAGGGACCCTCTAAATCTAGTTACTTTTTAAGAAGTATCCAGTGTAGAAAAGGGGACCAGAGTCAGAATTAGGCACTTCCACCTGGAGGAGCCACCACTCCTCTGTCAGTTTGTACTGTGGCTTGCATGTTGCTGTGAAGCTGGAGGCCATGCCACTGGTATTTCAAATACCAGCAGGGTCACCCATAGTGGAAAGGTTTTAGCAGAACTTCCAGAATAAGACAGACTCGGAAGAAAGAAGGGGCCAACCATCTCTCAAAGAACTGGCCAGTGAAAACCTTCTGAGTAGCAGTGAAATTGTCTGATGTATTACTGGAAAACTTTATGAATAGCCCTGAGACATTGTCCAATATAATCCCAGAAGATGAGCCCCTCAGGTCAAAAAACCAAAATCCAAAACAAACTCACTGCCATCAAGTCAGATCCTACTTTTAGTGACCCTTTCTTGGGTTTCTGAGATGGTATCACTACGGAAGTAGATTGACCAATCTTCCTTCCGAGGAATGGCTGGTGGATTTGAACTGCCAGCCTTCTGGTTAGCAGTCAAACACCTTAGGCATTATACCACCAGGTCAGAAGGCACTCAAAATACGACTGGGAAAGCTGTCTCCCCAAAGTAAAGTTGACCTTAATGACTTGGATGGAATAAAGCTTTTGGGACCTCCATTGACTGATGTTGCATGACTCAAAATGGGAAGAAATAGCTGCAAAAATCCATTAATTTTCAGAACATGGAATGTACAAGTATGAATCTAAGAAAACTGGAAGTTGTAAAAAGTGAAATGGAATACACAAAGATCAATATCGTAGACATTAGTGAGTTAAAACAGACTGGTTTTGGCCATTTTGAATTAGACAGCCGTATGGTCTACCATGCCAGGAATGACAAATTGAAGAGAAATGGCGTGGCATTCATCATCACAAAAAATATTTCAAGGTCTATGCTAAAGTACAATGCTGTCAGTGACAGGATATCAATATGCCTACAAGGAAAACCAGTTCATACAACTATTATTCAAATTTACACTCTAACCACTAAAGTCAAAGATGAGGAAATTGAAGATTTTTACCAAGAAATTCAGTCTGAAATTGACCAAACATGCAATAAGGAAGTGTTGATTATCACTGGTGATCAGAATGCAAAAGTTGGACACAAAGAAGAATCACTGGCAATTGGAAAATATGGCCTTGGTGATAGCAATGACACTGGAGATCACATGATAGAATTTTGCAAGACCAACAATTTATTCATTGCAAATACTTTTTTTCAACAACATAAACGGCATCTATACTTGTGGACTTTCCCAGATGTAGTACATAGGAATCAGATTGACTATATCTAGGGCAAGAGGTGAAGGAGAAGCTCAATATCTTCAGCCAAAGCAAGGCCAGGAGCTGGCTGTGGAACAGATCATCAGCTGCTAATATGCAAGTTCAAGATGAAGCTGAAGACAATTAAAAGAAGTCCATGGGAGCTAAAATATAATTTGATTATATCTTACCTCAATTTAGAGACTTTCTAAAGAATAGATTTAATGCACTGAATACCATGACGGAAAACCAGAGGAATTGTGGGATGACATCAAGAACATCATCCATGAAGAAAGCAAGGGTCATTAAAAAGACAGGAAAAGAAGAAAAGACCAAAATGGATGTCAGAAGAGACTCTGAAACTTGCTCTTGAACGAAGAGTAGTTAAAGCAAATGGAAGAAATAACAAGATAAAAGAGCTGAACAGAAGATTTCAAATAGCAGCTCAAGAAGACAAAGTCAATGATTATAATGAAATGCACAAAGACCTGGAGTTAGAAAATCAAAAGTGAAGAACACACTCAGCATTTCTCAAGCTGAAAGAATTGAAGAAAAATTTCAAGACTCAAGTTGCAATATAGAAAAATTCTAAGGGAAAAATATGAAAAATGCAGGAAAAATCAAAAGAAGATGGAAGGGATATACAGAAGCACTGTACCAAAAAGAATTGATTGACGTTCATCCATTTCAGGAGGTGGCATATGATCAAGAACTGATGGTATTGAAGGAAGAAGTTAAAACTGCACTGAAGGAACTGACAAAAACAAAAAACAAAAAACAAGAAAACAACAAAACCAGACTCCAGGATTGACGGAATACCCATTGAGATGTTTCAAGAAATGAATACCACAAATACCACACGCTAGAGGCACTTACTCCTCTATGCCAATAAATTTGGAAGACAATTACCTAGCCAACTATGCATGTGAAAGCTGGGTGATAAATAAGAAAGACCTAAGAAGAGTTGATGCTTTTGTGTTGTGTTGGTCAAAGTGCCATGGACTGACAGAAGGAACAAATCTGTCCTGGAAGAAGTGCAGCTGGAATGCTCCTTGGAAGCCAGACTGGCCTGACTTTGTCTCACTTACTTTGGTCATGTTGTCAGAAGGACCATTTCCTGAAGAAGGATATCATGCTTGGTAAAGTGGAGGGTCAACGAAGAAGGGAAAGGCTCTCAACAAGATGGATTGACACAGTGGCTGCAAGGAGGGGCTCAGTTATAGCAAGGATTGTGAGGCTGGCCACAACCTGGCAGTGTTTTGTTCTTTTGTACAGAGTATCAGTGTAAGTCGGAGCCAACTCTGGGGCACTTGACAACAATAACAACTTGGAGGAAAGAAGCTAGTAGTCAGGGAACACAGAGTTCTTGGGCAGAATTAAAGAGTCCTTCTCCAGGTCCTTTCTGTCTCTCAATTGCTTGTCTCCATTCCCTTTTGTGAGCAGGCCTTAACTACTTACAGTCTTCTTATCAAACTCTCCTTTAATGGCATGCTTCCCCGCTCACTTTCAGAGACCCTAGCCCTTCATCCTCTTCTACCATTCCCTTCTTCTCTTAGGCTCTGGCTGTCATTGGTCCACAGGGAATTCGAAAGATTAAATCACAACCACCTAATGTAACTCTCTGATATCATAATCAGAATCCTCTATAGCAACCTGAGAACAGGATTCCCTACAGTTGTGTCCCCATGGGTATCCTAGGTCAAAGCAGGTGCCTCTTCTCAGGGACTCTCAAGCAGCAGAGAGTCCCTGAGAAAAGCTTGCACCTGCTTTGTAGCTAATCCAGGTGGAGGACAGCAATACTGCCGATTGTGCAAGGAAGTGTGAGGTTAAGCACCCAGCTGGGGGAAAAAAAAAATAGGCTTCAAAGGGTGACTTTCCAACCAGATGTCTCTTTGTTGTAATTTTAGAAGATTTCTCACTGTGCCCCAACTTCCTCAAGGCCAGCAACCGGGTCCTAAATTCCAGTGTTTTGCACTCTCAGACCCCTGTTGTTGTTGTTGTGTGCCGTCAAGTCAGACCCGACTCATAGTCGAGCCCTCCTTGGGTTTCCAAGGCAGTATCATTACGGAAGTAGATTACCCCATCTTCCTTCCGAGGAGTGGCTGGCGGGTTTGAACCGTCAGCCTTCTGGTTAGCAGTCAAGTGGCTTAGCCACTATTCTACCAGAGCTCCGGAAACCGCTGCTGGTGAGAAGATTTAAAACCCCCATCCCCAAGCTGGCCCAACATTTAATGCTGCTTCCTCTCTGCTCCGCCCCCAAGAGCTTTCATTTGAGTTCAAAACAGTCCGTTGGGACGCAGAGGTTGTTTTCCGGTCTTTCACTTTCAGCTGGAACAAAACAAAGGCCCGTGCGCCATACCTATGCTTTGCCTTTCACAGTAACAGCCCCTGTCCTCAGTGCTTTCTTTTCTAACTAACCTCTATAGCTCAAAACAGGAGCTCCGGTGGCATAATGCCTAAAACACTTGACTGCTAACCAGACGGCTGGCGGTTCAATCCCACCAGCCATATATACTCCCGTAGTCAGGGCCGACTCCACCGCACATAACAACAAAATCTTTCAAAGCCTGCCCTGAGAACCTCAGCAGCCCCAGGCATGGCGTAGGAATCGCCGGTCCCTAGGCCCGCATTTCAGGGCGTCTGCTCTGCGCCCACCTCCCACCTCCGGATGGAGACGTGCGCCCCTTCTTTGCCGCTAGGACTCATCTGCTTCTAGCGGACCGCACGTCCCCGCCTCCCGAGTGCCCAGAATGCGTGACACCCACACGTGAACACAGAGGGCCGGATCCAGCCGCTTCTCCAGGGCCTGCCCCTCTGTCCTTATTTGTACCCGTCCCCCTGCCCCTTTTCCCTCCATCCTCCCATCGTCAGTGCCGCCACATCCCCGCGCAGAGTGGGCCCCCGGCAGAGTGGGCTCCGGCGCGATGATGGTGCAGTGGCTGGTGTCCTCCGGTCATACGGTGCTGCTGTGGGGTGCGGCGAACGCCGTGTTCCTGGCGGGCGCCACCCTACTGCTGAGCTGTTTGCAGATGTTAGCGAGCTATGCGCGGAAATGGCACCAGATGAGGGCTATCCCAACGATTGCCCGCGCCTTTCCTCTGGTGGGCCACGCGCTGATGATGAAGCCGGACGGAAAAGGTAGGAGCCACCCCTGGACGGCCGTATTCCTACCCTAGGGCTGGGGCGCCTTGCCCGCCCAGCTCAGCCGAAGACTTCCTGGAAGGGAGCTAGGGACCATCAGGAGCCCGGAGGTCCCCAAATGCCCCTTCTGCAGCCAGGGTTCCACAAAGCCTCGCTCAATTTATCCTTTCGGAATTCTGTCACTGGAGGCGTTGGCTGCTTGGAAAGAGAAGGGTCTGTTTGTTGTAAACATTGCTAGTGCCCCTTCCTGTCTCATTTCTTAATTAACCCTTTGCTTATGTAGAACATAGAACGCAGTGTTTGCACACTCTTGTCCTTCTGCTTTCTGTCTTCTCCTTTTCCCACCTCGTGGTTGCTCTGGTCTTAGAACTCTTTCAGTCTTTTCTCCTCTCTTGGCTTTGTTTTCTTTTTAAAGAAAAAGTCTGAACGACAGAGATTTCCCTGCAATACCGCAAAATAACTTTAATATTTGGTGCTGCCTCCTTTCCCTCTTTTCTACTTGGGAAAAGAAGGGAGGCAGATCCATTTAGGGCTCCTCCACCCAAGGATATCATAAGACTCGACCATTACTTTCATTTCTTCTTGAACTTCGTATTTTAGCCCTCTTAAGGAGATTGCCTAATAACAAACTGATGATAGGACTTTTGCAAAATTACATGTCAAGTTTCAAAAGCGTTATTTATTGAAGAGTGAATTGTTTAATTGAGATTATCTTCTTTTAAAAGAGATAGGCTTTTATTGTGTTTTGTGAGGGGAAAAAAAAAAAAAAACAAACTTAGAAAGCTCTCAAAAGTAGCAAGTATATGTAATCAGTCCCTGGGCAGGAAGGGTGAATCAAATCATAGCACTTCATTTTCATGGGTATGTAAGGTGAGTTACACAGAGCTGAAAATATTTCCCAACATTACATATTTTAAGATGGGCCTAGGAGCAGAACCCAGTTCCCTCTCAGATTAGTTATTAATAGTTGTCACAAAGATCAAGCATTAACTCCAAACCTTGAAAGATTGTGTGACACTTTTCCATTTCTGTTCCTCTCAGTAAAGATAACGCTGTCATTTCAACTTCATAGAAATGAGATGAGGCCTCATGGGACCATGTTTGCAAAATAATGAAAATATTTTCTTGGAAAAGAAATCCAAGTAAATAAACTCTTTATTGTTGTTGTTGTTATGTGCCGTCGAGTCGGCCCCGACTCATAGCGACCCCTCCTTGGGTTTCCAAGGCAGTATCACTACGGAAGTAGGATTGCCCAACCTTCCCAACCAAGAATTCACATGACTGATATTTCAAGTGATCCAACAACACATTTAGAAATACAAAAATCTTGTTTGTAAAAGTGATCTTGGTTAACACTGAAAGCAGAGCTAACCTCCCTTTATAGCCTAAGTCTTCATGGCATTAAAATAAAAACGGCCTGCCACTGAGTGTGTTCTAACTCTAGTGACCCTACAGGGCAGAGTAGTAGAACTGCCCCAAAGGATTTTCTAGGCTGTAAATCTTACAGAATCAGACTGCTTCATCTTTCTCCCATGGAGCTGCTGGTGGGTTTGAACCATCACCTTTTTGGTTAACAGCCAAATATGTTCACCATTATGCCATCAGAGGTCTTCACTTTAAAAATAACTTTGTAAAATTATAGATAGCCTCCTGTTTGCCCCCCAGGGAAGTGGTATATTTAAAAGTCTTCATTGTATTCTTCTGTGGAATTTTTTCAAGAATTGAAATTTTTAGTGAATAAAACAAACTGAGCTGATGGAAATATCTAAAATCATTGTTTCTGAGTTAGCTTTCTGAGTGAAAAGAATGGCACAAAGGTGAACTTTTCAACAAGTACTTTGACATCAGATAACCCCTTTGCTCAATTTCTAGTTTTGCAAGCAACAAGTTGTCTGGCTTTCAATAAATAGCTTAAAATGGTCTGCCAAAGTTTTCTTGATTTGTAAAAGTAACTATCTGTCAGAGTTATTTTAAGGATTTTTAAAGCATGAAAAATTCTCAGGCCATTGTCTAGGACTTGGTTACCAACAAACCCAACCCAACCCACTGCCAACAGCAGCAGTCAAGCATTTATTGAGCCTCTACTTTGTGACTCCGCTAGCAAAGTTAGGATATTATACTATTTTAAGATGTGTTCCTTGTCCGCAATAGTTGTGTCTCTTATCCAAGAGAATGTGTCCATCATTTTATGGATACTGGCCTCAATAATCTCACCCGGAACATTTCAGTTGGTTTCTAAGTGGCCTCTCAAACCTTAACCGCTTGGTTGTCTAGTCCATTGTGTCAGCTTCTGCTTTCCCCAGCTGTTCCCTGCTATTGTTGTTGTTGTTATTTGCCATCGAGTCAGCCCCGACTCCTAGTGACCCCTCCTTGGGTTTCTGAGGCAGTTATCACTACGGAAGTAGGATTGCCCAACCTTCCTTCCCAGGAGTGGCTGGTGGGTTTGAACCGCCAGCCTCCTGGTTAGCAGTCAAGTGCCTTAGGCACTATGCTACCAGAGTTCCCTGCTGTAAGACCTGATATTTTCAAACCACTGGCTCAGACTTCCCTATCTTCTCTATCAGATAGCATATTAGCATGAAGCAAAATATTTTGACAGTGGTGATTTGACCCAGCTAAGATGGCATGTTTTGGCCTCTGATTGCGTTAGGTACAAAACCAGGTTCTGTCCTTTACTATCTTTGTGCTATTGGTCAATTACTTACCTATGAACAATTTCTTCAACTGTTAAATGACAGTAATAATAGGACATTGCATGTGGCTATGGCAAAGCATAAAAAAAGTGTACTAAATTTTTTAAGTCATTAAAATTTTAAGCAACTGGTGAGTTTGAACTGCAGACCTTCTGCTTAGCAAGCAATTGTCTTATCTACTGTACCGCCAGAGTTCCTTATAAAAGTTTACCATAGAGTCTGGCATGCCATAAGCAGGCACAGCAAATAAATATGACAAAATAAATATTCGCCATTATAGAATATGGGTTCAAACGTACCACTGAGTATGAAGATGGCAGAGAACCAGGCAACATTTTGTTCTTGTTACACATAAAGTAGTCATGAGTTGGAGCCAACAAAAGAAACAATTACAAGATCGTTGTTACCAGATTTTGGTATGCCAGAATGGGCAGACACTCTGATAGCATAGTGCCTAAGGCATTTGACTGCTAACCAGAAGGCTGTTGGTTCAAACTCACCAGCCACTCCTCAGAGGGAAGGCTGGACAATCTACTTTCTTAGTGATACCACCTCGGAAACCCAAGGAGGGGTCTCTGTGAGTCGGGACCAACTCAATGGCAGTTAGATTGATTTGGTTTGGATTTCCTTATTATTATACTCAGCAGCCATCCCTGAGCCACAGTCTATCTGTACTTTGAGCAGTCTACCGTGAAACCCAGAGATGAGGAGCAGGGATGAGCATGTCTCTTGTGTACATTTGTTGATACTAGAAAAAACTGGAAATTTTGATATTTTTAAAAATTTAGTACACTTTATTTGTAGAGCACTTTTAGGTACACATAAAAATTACTCAGAGAGTACAGAGTATTCATGGATCCCTTTTTCCCCTGGCGCACAGTTTCTCTTAATATTAACATCTCAGCAGGCATATTTGTTAAAATAGATGAACTATTACTGGTAACATTATTATTAGCTAAAGTCACTAGTTACATGAGAGTTGATGCTTTGGGTTGTGCAGGCTTATGGGTTTTGACAAATGTCATATAAACACCATTACAGTATCATGCAGAATAATTTCACTGCCCTTAAAATGTACAACTAATAAATTTCTCTCTTTAATCTCTAGTAACATTTCAGTCGTACATTTCACTTACCTATAAACTATCATCATCTGCTATGTGTAGTGGTCTATTTTTCATGCCATGTCAATTTGTGCTTGGCACTCAAATTACTATGTCAAAACAGCCTTGTTGAAATCTCAAGTACTAAGTTAGTGGCCTCATGGAATTTAAAATTCTTTTTGCTCTTTCCCCGGAGAAGCATTGGGTACCTATATGCCTACCAACCCCTTCCCTACTAGGTTTTCCCAGTTGTGTAATGAGACTTCTGCCTTGTTTCCTAATGTGTTACTATTTCCCCAGCTAGAACTTGAATCCTCCCTTGACTTCAGTTTGTTTAACTTGGTCCTGGACAACCTTTATATCGTTTGCCAGGTTTTTCCTCTGACATCTGAACCTTGTATTCTAGTCCTTTAGTCACTGGATACTGTAGTGTGTTTCCATACAAATGGCACTGGTCAGTTCAATATTCTGTGACTAGAAGTGTCTCCATTGCTTCCGTACCGATTGCCATGCTACACTCTCCAGAAGGGGCCTCATGGATGTTAACACAGAAGGAGTTGGTATCTGATGCTGTAGATAGCAATGATGGTCACCATTTCCTCATACCCAACACTAACCAGTCTGTATCGAATCCTGGTCTTTTTGTTACTCCCAGTAGCCTCCCGTGGACCCAATATGCCCAAATTATATATATTATCTTAGACATTTTAGTGTTATTGTACTAAAATACAACTCTAGTCATGCTGCTTCTCAACAGAAAATTTCTTATTCTCTACAGACTATAAAAGAAAACCAAACACCTATAACTCTCCGGAGCTTTAGCTTCATCTCTCACTGTGATCATGCCTATTTAAATGCTTGGCTGCTTCTAACATACAGTGAAATTTCAAGCCTTTGTCCTTCTGCTCAGCTATTCCTCTTGCTAAGTAGGAGGTAGAACAATGTTTTGTGTAGCATGTTATGCCAATTGAGCTTGATGTCCCCTGCGACTATGGTCCCGACCCCACAGGTTTAACTATTCATTCCCTCTGGGTAGCTGGCCATGACCAAGAAGGACTAAAACTTTGTTCCTTGTCAGCTCTACTATACATCTGGGAATTCTTAAAAAACATACAAATACACTTGTAGAAACATTGTCTGCCAACCCTATACATGGTCTTGGGTACACTCCCCACTACATAGACATACCTAATAGTTCAGC